ATACAGCACTAAAATGTGTATCAATCTGGAAGTATGAAGTGCTTGAATTGAGCTTGAGTCTCATTTGTTTGTTGATATTGGAAGAATGTGAATATGATATATATATATTTCACTGTTGTAAGTTCGGCTAGGTTCTGAGCCATGTTGATTAAGTTGGAAAGTAAAACGTATCTTAGACAATAGTGTCATGAGATTGTAAAATGAAGTAATTGATTATCTTGGTTAACCATCTGTTGAATGCTATTGCTTTATTCATTGCTTATAAGTGGTTTAGTATATTTCTACTGGGCTGTGGCTCACCCTTTATGGGAACATCATTTTCAGGTTCAGGTGATAAACTACCTCCAAGGACTTAGCTTGGGAGGGTTTGGCTCCTGGATTGAAGAAGATTACCTTTAGCTAATTGTCTTTAATTATTAGTACATGTAAACATTCAAGCCTAGGGCTTTTCTTGTTTTGAGTTAGAACTCATATTTTTGTATCCAAGTGTTGGCTTGGAAATATGTAAGCCTGTAAGGCATTTTATTCAATGTTACATGTAATGCTTTATTTAGTAATACTCTGATGAATGAATTAATTAATTGTCTTCTTTAAATAATGCATGTCAATGATATATGTAATGGGTTAATTTTGAGGGCGTTACAGTCTGTAACTGATCAAGATTAAAGATCTTTAGAGATAATGCAAAGTGTGCTTCGATCCTACTTACATATGATATCTTGTATTAGTCTAGGACACATGCTTTTCAAGTCATAGTTTGACTAGAATAACTTATGCTTAGTCTTGTGGTCTTTATGATCGGAAACTATTCAAAACAAGATTAATTGGGCAAGTCCCAAGGGCACCGATCGAAGAGCGCTCGAGCGAGGTGCCCCCTGGGAGCTCTGCATATGTCTAGAGCCCTAGGTTTAAAGAAATGTGGTGACATTTCAACTTCATAGAAGTCCATAGAGCTGCTCTTGATGCCCACTTGAAAGTGTGCTTGAGCAGGGTGCTGGGATTTCTGCATAATGGGAGCCCACAGAGGCTTGCTCAAAGCACACTTGAAAGGCACTCAAGCAGTGCATAATTTTTCATAAGTTGTGCCATGACTTCATCAGTACGTTGCTTATTACTAGTCATCTGGTATATAGTTTTTTCTTCTTGAAAATGGTTTGTCAGTGAAAACTGTAGCACTTGATGTCCTGACTTCTCGCAATCCTGTTATTTACAGAGGGATATGATGAATTCGAAAACAATTTGAGGATGATAGTAGATGTACGAGATGTAGCTGAAGCACTGCTATTGGCATATGAGAAGCCCGAAGCCGAAGGAAGGTATATATATGCACAGCTTACATGATCAAGTCACAAGATCTGGTGGAAATACTCAGGAAAAACTACCCGAACTACAATTATCCTAAGAAGTAAGTTTCTGTCTCTCCATAATATATTCATCTAAAAGGATTTTCCAGCTGTACGAATTTCTTTTTCATTTTTTTAATTTTATATTATATAATAGATTAGGTATTAGCAGTTGAATTATATTTGTGGTCTATCACCAATAAGTGTAGCTGAATTATTACTATGGGTTACCTTTGTTGGGTTAAAATTTGCTGTTTCATTCAATTACACATTGCCAGATTTAATGAGGGAAAGGAAGAAGAAAAGCTCATTTCAGAGAAATTGCAGAAGCTGGGTTGGAGTTACAGACCGATAGAAGAAACTTTGGTTGATTCCATTGAAATCTGTAGACTAGCCGGACTTCTGGACTAAATGATCTTGGCATTCTGTTGTAGTTTTTACAAGTTGTATCATCAAGCATTCTCATATCCAGAACCTCTTTGTTCTATAGATGTTGTATTGGGTATTGTTGCAAACGATCCTTGTTCATTTTGCAATAGCGCTGCGACTCATGACTCCAGTTAATTTGAAATATGGTATTTGAACACTGCAATTAATGTTACACGATTACATGGAACTTTAGTTTTTGTGGAAATTGATGCTGTGGACAGGATATGAGGATGTATATTGTTTGTTGGTCACTTGTCTTGTCTTGTGACTGTTTGGATCATAGATTTGGGTAGTAATTTTGAAAGAAAGTGAGAATTATGAATTTGGACAGGGATTATCCATAATCTAAACACAATTTTAGGGGCCATAGTTTCTTTAGCTGCTTCTCTTGATTTGTTTTACACTTACCTAGTTTAATCCAATCCGTTTAAAGCTGTTTGTTAAATGGACGAGTTTAAATTAGATTGTTTTAATACGTAATCCGTTTTGACCAACAGCAAGCCCGCCCATTTTTTACCTCTGTCATGTGTAACGCCCTCAAAAAAATACATAAAACCCATCAATTAGACATGCAAGATATAAGAGAAATCAACCACACTTCTATTCGTTAGAGTAGTTCTTACAAGAATATTACATGCTAAACAACATAAATAAATGTCTTACGGGCTTACAGCTTTCCAAGTACATACTTGGTTGCAAAAAGGAAAAGTACTAACTCAATACATCTTAAGCCCTTGGCTTGAATTTACAGGTAACATATCAAGAAAGCTAAACAACAAGTGAAATCTATCTGCCTCTATCCTCCCAAGCTATGTCCTTGGAGGTGGTACGCTACCTGTACCTGAAAATGATGTCCCATAAAGGGTGAGCCACAGCCCAGTAGAAATACACTAAACCAACTATGAACAATGACTAAAAGATTAGCAACAGATACATGGTCAACACTTACACATCCATTTACATCTTATTACAACTCCATGACAATCAAGTCTAAATTACAATTCACTTTCCATTTCTTATTCAACATTGAGTTTGAAAACAAGGCTCAGTACTCTGGCCAAAACCTTTGATGTGATTATAATTCTTTTTTTTAATTTTTAGATACACCTAACATAAATACACTTATAAAATATAATATTTATAAAAGAAATCTTTAAAAAATTTACTAAATACCAAAAATATAAAAAAAATACGAAAATTTAATACATTTTTCGTATTCTTATGTATTTATTGATTTTTTAAAATATTATTTTTTAGATACATCTGAGTAAAGTGCATCTAAAAAAAAATTATTTAAATTTTTTAAAATATTTATTAAAAATAAAAAGAACGAAAAATAAAAAAATTAATTTTAAAAAAAATTAAAACCAAACAACGTGTTGTCAAGGCTTTTTGGGTGATCTTTTTCTGCCCTTTTTGGAGAGTTGTTTAATGTCTAAGTAAATGTTTTACATTTTGTTTTTGGCTTGGGGTTTTACTCCCTAACATGTCTTGGATGTTTTGGACTTAAGCTTTTATATATGTGTTGGACATAGACTTGGACTTATGTGTGCATTGGTATATGTGTATATGAAAGTTTATTTCCATTCAGGTCCTCACAGCTCATTGGACGATGTATGTTACTATTGATTGGCTTCCGCTTGCCCCTTTATATTGTATTATTGTCATTATTGTAAAACAGGCCTTTGGTAATCATGGATTACTGGCCAGTTACGATACTAACACCTTAAGGGCGGGTTTGGGTCGTGACAATATTTGATCGGTAGTTGACCTTTTTCATGTTCACTTGTTAAGACCTAGCTGTTTGATCGAGTTTGCCTTTGGCACGAGATTCCTCTCTTTTTCTTTTGCCATCAAATCTGTAGGAAAGACCTGTTTGTTCAAATACAAAAAAAAATTAATATTACTGTTCACAAATGAATAGTGATAATAAGTGTAAATTATTATATGCCATATGAATAATGAGATGGTGATGGTGAAATAGTATGTGAATAGCTGGTGCAAATGTTCACGTGAAAATGTGATAGCACATGACAAACCAACATTCACATGAAGATGTGAGAACAGTCACACATTACAACTATTAAACTAACACGACGTATACACAATGTTAATCTTCACATAATTATACTTGTATGTTTGACTGTGAATATTCATAGCCAAATATATGGTGTGAATATTCAATGTGAATGTGACAATGTAAATATTAACATTATATTCACAACGTGAATATTAAAATTATGTTCAGAATATTACAATGTGAATATTAACATTATGTAAAACAGAGGGTGGAACCAACAACACCCAACAACACCCTACAACACTAACAAGTCTGACATTGATGTCACAGTTTGAATATTTACTCACTAACTGATCTAATGTGTGTTTATCCATTACTGAATAGTAATGTGAATGTTCACATCATTGATGTTTACAAAATCAAATCCAAAAATAACAATAGTAATAGGCAATGTAAATATATACATCGGTGATCACATTATGACTAAAAAACAGAAGGTGGAATGATGTTGCTTACTTTTGTTCCTCATTGTGGGTGGGTATGGAAATCGATGGACCACACTTAGTCAACCGACGGGAAACACGGAAAAACGAACCACCATCCTTCCGATGTAAACCTTCACAGTGGTGAGAAGAAGTGGAATAGCAGTGGCCGACGACGGTGGTAAGGCGATGTGAATCTAGGGTTACAGTTTGAGAGTTTTTTGGGGCCGACGATGAGATTTTCTTTGGGAAATCAGTGTTTTGTGGATTGAATAGATGAAATAGGAATGGTTTGTTTTCAAAATGGAGTAGGGAAATCCAATGCACTGCTTGTATTGCCATCTTGACCAAATATCAGTGTTTTTTTGTTTGTTTGGTTCTGTACTGTTGTGCTGCAAGCATTGTGTAGCCTCATCTGTGGACCTTTAAGGCAGAGTGCTTTTCTGTTACACTATTACTTCATTTTGCAACTAATTCTGAAGCATTGCTACTTATATTTTTTACTTCTAGGGAACCAAAATGTATTCAGAATATTGAACTGTATTTCTGTTTGAGTTTCTTAAACCATTTTCTATAACTGTAACTTATTTGGTTTTTTGTTTGTTCTAGGTGGGCACAGTTGGAGGTGGGACTCAACTTGCATCTCAATCGGCTTGCCTGAACCTTCTTGGCGTGAAAGGTGCAAGCAAGGAGTCCCCAGGATCGAACTCAAGGCTTTTAGCAACCATAGTAGCTGGTTCAGTTTTGGCAGGGGAACTCTCCTTGATGTCCGCCATTGCAGCTGGGCAGCTTGTCAAGAGCCACATGAAATACAACAGATCGAGCAAAGATGTCTCAAAAATTGCCTCTTAAGAGGAAAGAAGAAAGTTAAACATTCAAAGAGGCTGAGAAGGCAAAATTGGGGAAGAGGAACGATACCCATGTGAGATCGCTTCTTGATGTAGCTGTAAAGGTGGCAATCGTGTGATGGTGCTAACTTGCCTGGTTGTACTTTACTCTTTATCTATATCTCTAAGCATGACATACATTCCCTAGTGACTTGTGACCATTGGAGGCCCCACATATCTGGTTTGTATCGCTTTCCAATTGTGAATTTGAACCTTGTCCTGTTTTCTAGTTGTTTCTGTCATATTATTTGTCCTTGGGGGGCCACATTGTTTCAGAGCTGGATCAATTGTTGTTTCTTCCCCTATTACTTTGTACATTCTCAGAACTTGAATTTGATGATGGATATATATTTTTTGTTTGGTATTAGTATCTGACTATTTCAATTTTGTGTGGGTTGTACCTGGTGTTAGTTTTGTTATCTGCCTCAAGCTATAATTCTAGATAGAAGATAGCATGAAAACTTTAACTAGAATTTCAACATTGAAAATGAAATACTATTTATGATGTATATTTAAAGTTAGTGTGTCGTAGGTAATGAAGTTTATCCGCACATATCTGTTATAGGTGAAATCCTGAATAATTTTTTCAAGTGCTTATGTCGTGTTTGGCTTTGCCTCGTAATTGTTCTCGACTGTTGCAGCTCAGTTCGAGATTTACAAAAGAGTAGGGTTGTTGAAAGTCTATATGGTTTTATTAAATTAGTACATGGTGGAAGCATGATGTATGTGTTCCTTCTCATACGCATCTCTTCCTCTTCCTCGTGTCATCCTGTTATTTTCCCGCTAATCTTGCCGGATACTTAAAATCATCCTTATTTATTTGGTTCACTGGAATGAAATAATACGATAATTTTTTAAGCTCTTATATGGAATGATCATTCTCTTGAAATGGTCAATGATGATTTTATTTACAGAAATAATACAAACTCTTTTATTATTATTATTATTATTATTATCTCCACAACCCCTACAAACACATGTCAGCCAGAGATAAGAGGACAAAAAAAGAAAAAAAATAAAAAGTTGACCAATCACAATGCATTAGGGGTGGTGGAGGTTTCTCAAAAAGGGGGTCACAACCTTTTTATTTTTATTTATAATGTATTTTGTTATTATTTTTTTAATCTACCAAATATGAAAATGAATATTTTGATAGAATGATCGTTCTATTTCATTTCATTCTAGTGAACCAAACACTACCTTAAAGTAAAACTCGAATTTTTACGAGTCACAAATCACATGTTGTACAATAAGAAAAATTATTAGATATTTCATGAGTACCTGTGATATTGTTTACGTGGTGGTACCATTGAGATACTTTTATTGATTTTTTTTTTCTTTTTATGCATGATGTTTATCAGCATAGTATTGCATGTTGAGAATATTAGAAAAAAAAGAGTCTTGGAATAATATTTATTGAAATTATTCACACGTATAGGACACGGCTAATTAGTACATTAATGGTTGTCCATATCAGTCTTTGTTATTTAACAATATAACAATGAATTGACTACGAGATCTTCAATTGAGTCAACTCTTGGAATAATAGTTTTTGCATGTGTATGACATATATGGTTAATATATCGATATTAATCTTTTGTAATAAAAATAATATATCATTGTTAAATTTTTAAGCCACTTGGAGATCTTCAATTGTTGGTGGTGGTGGTGCATTGATGGTGTGATAATTAGTTCCTATTTGTTTTTATCAGTCTTTGTTGATACCTCACTCTTCGCTGGACAAACCGCGTGACTTTACTTTAAAACCCAAACCAAACGACTCACACAAACCCTAAACCCATCCATTCACTCCCTCCCTTGCAAGAAACAGATATACAGATAGATAGATAGATAGAGAGAGAGAGAGAGAGAGAGAGAGAGAGAGAGAGAGGGAGATAGAAAGAGCGGAGGAGGAGGAGGAGTCGTCGCCCGCTGTCCCTTCAGATTCAGGTTTTGCGGTAATTTACCAGCGATCAATCTTTGATTCGTTTCTATCATTGTTTACTTTTTTATTTTATTTATCATCATCATTTGATTTTGAACTCACTTTCTTGAGTTTTTCCAGACCCTCTCTCTCTCTCTCTTGTAAATCTGATACTTGATTCTGCATCTCTCACTCACGACTCACGATTACGTTATGACCATATTTAAATTCGATTTTAGGTGTATGATTTATTGTCTTAGCGGATCGTATAGTTAGGGAACTGACCTTTGTGTTTTTTCTTTAAAAAATAAATCCAAAACATGCTTGATTCTGTTTAAAGATAGTTATATTTGATGATTTATTGAATCGATTATGTATTATTTTAGTAAAAAAAATTAGTATATTTGGAATGACTTTTTAATTTTTTATGTAAAGATGTGCAAAAGGTAGAGAGAAAAGAGATCTTTTAATTTTTTGGTATAAATTGTTGGCTTTTTAGTTTTTTTAGTAATTTTTTGAATTTTATTGAGTTTTATGAATTTGGTTTTTGAAAATTTTTCGCAAACCAGAATATAAACAAATGCATTGATATTATATCTCGAGTAGTACTACACAAATTATAAAATTGTACACATTTACTTGTATATTTGCCTACCTGTGTTTCTTTGGTCTCATTAATATTCTCTCTTTATATGTTGGAAATGGTAAGCTTTATGATTTTGTTGATTTTCAAAAGGCAGCCATAACTATGTAAAAATAATTTATATTACAAACAAAACTTGTCAATCATAATGTTACAAGTTTGGTTATATATATAGGATTTTAGACTATTTGTGTTACATGCCTGTTATCTGTCATGATTACTCTTGAAGGTTCTATTAAACACAAAGGATGAAGTATGCTAGGTCATTGGAAATAGATGATTGACTCTTTCTTTTGCTTTACTTGGAAACATTGTTAGGAGCATGTATAGTCACATAAATCCTGTATTCTACGTATATCTGTCCTTTCTTATTTTCGCTTTTATTCGTGGTGATGTGTACGATGAATGTATTCCCATGCAACATTAAAATAACGTAAGTAACAAATATTAATCACATTTCCTGCCAATATATATTTGCTATATCTTATTATGTACGCCTTTACTGGCTTTTAAAAATAAAAATAAAATAACCAAACTATTGCTGGAGCCAATGTGCTTAGCAATTGGTGAACACTAATGAATGCCTTTGAGTTGATCATTCAACTATGAATGATACAGCCTTTCACTACAACAAAATTGACTTTTCACAGCACCACATCCACGACATACAATGAATGCAAGCCGTAATTTCTCAATTAAAAACCCCTTTGCAAAGTCTCTCAAGTGAGTCCATATATGACTTGTGTCATGAACCTCAAATTGTACTGATTTTGAACTCCTAAAAATGTTGTCTTTCACAAAAAAAAATTCAGTATCCCCACCAAATAAAAATCTGTCAGCTTGCCCCACCACTGCTGTCAAATTCATTAATTCTCAAAACCTTTTGATGAGACATAGAAAGTCAGATTATTGGAGCTCCATAAAACCAAATTCAGATTGGTAATTTTAAAAGGTAATTTTAAAATAAGAAGGATATGTATTAGAAAAGTACTCAAAATTTTGAAATTTAGTGATTAGATTCATTTTGTGTGACCCTCACAATAAGAAATTACCAATTCCAGATAGTGTTTTTTTCTAGGTACATGACATTTTTTTTTTCCTGATTTTAAAAAGCGACAATCTTGAATGTGACCATTCTCATTGAGGTTCCTCCTATTAATTTGATTCCCTACCAGGCTGCCATTTCATTTTCTGAACCTCCTCTCTCTCTCTCTCTCTCTGGTGCTGGTTTGCTCTGGCTGTTGCTTTATTTTCTTCAGCTTGCTGTTCTGCTCTGACTTTGTTGCTCTGGATCTATTAATCTGTTGCTGTTGCTGTTACTTCATTCATGTGTGGTGCTGCTAATTTGTGTGAGCTCTGCTACTGGTTTGTTCTGGCTGTTGCTCTATTTTTCTTCAGCTTGCTGTTCTGATCTGACTCATTCATTAGAGTTCCATTACATAAGTATTACATGTTAACATCATAACAAAATGCCCTACGGGCTTACAGCTTTCCAAGTTAACACTTGGTTACAACAAAAGAGTACTAACTCGTTTACACATTAAGCCCTAGGCTTGAAGTTACATGTAATACATCAAAAGTTAAGCGACAAAAGTATGTCTGCCACTAGCCTCCAGCTATGTCCTTGGAGGTGGCATGCTTCCTGCACCTGAAAATGATATTCCCATATAGGGTGAGCCACAGCCCAGTAGAAATACACTAAACCAACCATGGACAATGACTAAAATATTAGCAATTGATAGGTGGTCCACACTGATACAATCACATAAATCACAAATTTATGTTATACAACTTATGAGTCTAAGTTACCTTTCATTTTCCCTTTTTCAACAGATAAGCATGCTAGCTCTATCATCATTTCCACAGATATGTACAAAAAACTATATCTCACATTCAGATAAGCACAAAAGCTATATCCACATTCCCAACAGATATGTATAACAACAATAT